ACCTCCGCCCTTGCGCGCGCGTCTTCCTGAAACTCTCTCCCCTCCAACAGTCGCAGCCCTCCGCGCCGCCCCCACTCGCCGCGACCTTGAATTAGCCAACTGTTTCAGGCTCCAACTTTAGCGTAAAGTCTCTCTCAACCCTACAATAATCTTAAATGTTGTCAAGGACCAACATGAGAAAGTTTATGGTTATATTCAAACGTTTCGTATAATGTTTTAATATTCTTTTTTTGGAATCTGCTCCAAATTGATATGATTATCCATATATATCATGAACCTATATTTTGTTGTCCAAAAACTACATCAAATGTCAAGTTGTTGTTGGTATGTATTAGTGTGTCTTTTTTCGAAAAATTGTAGCCAATAGCTTGTTACAACCTTTATTTTTTCATAGACAGAGGTTATGTCAGGATCAGCACATAAACATTGTGAAACTGAGCAAAATAATCATTCTTTCATGTTACACAAAAGAGATCTCAAAATATTGGAGTATTGTTGCAAATGCGCCCAAAGAAATTACAATTATTGTTAAAATTACAGATGACTTTTGCTCTTAAACACACCATTCATGATTTCTGGAACAATATTAGAGTTAGTATTGAGAGGGAAAAAACAGCTGAGCCTGCCAGAATCACAAAGTGGATGCAGATCAAGCAAATTAAGCCAGAACTTTCGCAATTCTAATATATAAAAACAAAAGCAACAACAAAGCCAAAAACAAGTTAAAAACAGACCGCTTAAAACATGTAATATGATTACAAATATTTTGAGGAATCTGTGTGCAGTCTGAGCATAAGAAAAGCATAAAAGAACTTAACAGAAGAGTTGCTTAATGAGTCTCAAAACTCCTGTGAAATGAGTTCCTGTCATGAACATTACATTTACGTATTGGTTAGCACGTTTTGTGTTAAATCATTTTTTGTGATTTTAAGTACTGCAGTGATTATTATAGTGTTAAATGGATGAAAGAAAGTGAAAAAATTCTTTCCTTCATTTATTAATAAAGAATTATTTATTTCTCTTTATTAATAAAGACTATACCTGACATCATTCATCTTCAGTGGGTGCTATTAATATAAACCCAAAAAATATTTTGGTTTGGGACTGAAAAACATTTCAAGCTTTCCAGCTTGATTGATATTGACATCAGACCACGTGTCCTGAGATATTATTAAGTTATTAAGTTGGTATTGTGTTAATTAGTTATAACTTAAAATTTTGGTCATGTTACGGTATACCCATTGAAGATTGGAAAATTTTCTCTGAGACGTTTTTTTTAACAAATGTTTTTTTAAATACATTATATTTTTCATTGTGAATGATTATTTCTTCATTTTATTTACCTTATTATGAAATGCCACAAAATTTTTACTGAAAGCACCAAATTGAATATAATATGGTTTTTCAAATGCTCAAAATTATTTTCAAGGTCAATAACCCCATCTTGATCAGGTTTTCATCCAGTTTCCCTTGATCCTTTGAGCAAACGCAGAGAAGACCTGTTGCTTTGCTTCTGGTAAATATAACTTCACTTTCTGCACAAGGTTTCTTAAGCTCTCTTTTGCTAGGCACCAGAGGAATGAAGAATGGAGGGTTAGTTATTTGGCAGCAGTATATGCAAATCAATAGTCCATGCAAAGACTCGGGTGTCAGGATGACGCTGCATCGAGGGGAGGACATTGATGTGCCGACGATCCGCCATCACATAGAGCGCACCACCGTCATCGCGGGTCAGAACATCAGAACGGTCACCGAGCACATTCTGCTTCAAACAGTGCCGAGGCATGAAAGGTGGCCGCAATTGGATGTTTGTTTCGTTTCATCTCTAAAGAGGTTCATCTTATTGCTGATAAGTTCAGTAAATATGATAGAAAGCTTTAAAGATGACGACTTCTGATTAACGAAGCAATCAAACAATACAATAAAAATAAATTATTTAATTACTGAGGCAATTTTAATCGTTTCAAAAGGTCATTCCGTCACTAAATAAAATAATTTATAATGAGTGTATTTGCAACAAGTCGGATTTCGTAAGGGCGAAGAACAGATACACATCGCCTCCTGATCTCCAGGTGGCCGGTGACATTACCTGTAGATCTTGAGATTAATTATGTCATCTCGTAAATAAGTGACATAATCTGCAAGAGAAAGCTTATTAAAACGTATACGTGAGAAAAACAAGCGAATCAAAAAGAAAAAACACCAGACATATTAATAGGAAACTAATAGAAATGACTTGGAACCAATTAGGAAGAATCGTAGAGTTATTTAAAATAAAAATATTAATAAAATGTTTTTTAATATATACTTCAACATTAATAACTTGAACATTAATATAAAAATTTAATGTAAGAAATGAAGTGCGATAGAGGGCGATTGATCATGCAAATTCATTATCATTATATTTATTATGCTTTCTCAATGCATGAAAGGTTTCGAGGTGCGTAAAAAAGAAGCAGGTGGGTAAAAATTGACAGAGGAGCGAGTTAAAGGATTTAAAAAAAAAATATTGTAAGTCGCGTTTCAACTACTTGGTCATTAGTGACAACAGTAATATAAAAAAACTTAGATTATATGTAACATTCTTTTACATAAACAAGGATTATTTATGACATTATAACAAAAATTTGATTTAGACAGATCATCAATATTAAACTTATTTTGCCCTTACATCAATAAATGTTTGAATTGTACATAATATACATTGTTTTGTATTGTACATAATGTGCATAAACATAATGGATAGGTAGACAAGGATTGATTTTAACATACTAACAAAAAATTTGGATTAAGCATATGAACAGTATTAAACCGATTATACCCTTACATCAACAAAAGTTTGAATCATACATAACATATTTTTGCATAGACAAAGATTGGTTTTAGTATATTCACAAAATTTTGGTTTAAACACACAATATGAACAATATTAAACTATTTTACTCTGATAAGAAGGAAAGAATCGTTAAAACATTTCAACAGGTTTGTTTTAGGCCAATTATTAAATATTTGAGTTACAGATAGGGCTTTATTGAGTAGAAACTGTTGCTGTTCCATTGAATAGTATCAATTAAATGCGCAAAACCACTAACTTATGTGGAAATTACTTTCATTTTTAATTAAACATGAACATTAAGTCAACTTTTTTTTGCAGAGAGTGTATGATGGATTTCTCTTAACATGCTGACTAAGTCAGGCAGATCAGTCGTAAATGGTTTCACAACATCAGCTATGTTGTGAACTCCTTCAGTTTTGTCCAGTAAATTCATTAATTGATTTAAAGAGAGGGAGTTTATATTGCCATATGATTCTATTACTTCCTTGTTAACTGTCCATTGTAAATCTTCATTATGGTCAGATTTTATTTTAATATTGTTAAGTACAGATCTCTCTCACGTCGTTAATATTTACATTAGCTGCGATTGTTAACATTGTTGCATTTGTGACTACATATGCTTTAAATGATGTAAATTTTATTGATTATAAATTACATTTGATTGATTATAAATTTTTCACGCAAACCCAAAAGCTTTATGTGAAAATGGGCTCCAAATTCAGCATTTTCAGATACGCTTTCAGATACGGCATTTTTTCAAAAACGGCTCCAATTTTTTTCTAAGGTTTTGTACGGATAGTACTAATTGCCCAATTGAAGATAACATACAATTAATTTTCTGTATTCTTTTGTTTTTAAAAAATTACTCATGTAATGTTTTTTTTTTTTTTTATTTTTTTTTTTATATCTCCCTTGCCGTTAATATGCACATTTCCCGCAATATGTATATATTATTGTTTTGGGGAGTGAAAGTGCTTCAAAGTCTTCAAATGAAGTTTTTCGAAAACAAAAGATCCCTGTGAAAAAGAGCTTCAAATTTTGTATTTACTCCAGAGCTTAAACGATTTTTCTTCAAAACGGCTCCAAATTGTTCAACGAAACTTTCCATATAGTACGATGTTTCACTCTTCTTTAATATTTTAAAAGTAATATTTGAAATATACCGTTAGGAAACCGAAAAATTGAGACAAATTTTAAAAAATGTATTTTGGGTGGCGATAGATGGCAGCTGACAAGAGGATGGGGCAAGACTGAAGAACTAACCCAGACGAAAAGATATTAGAAAACTATTTTGTATATATTGTGCGGCTGTGTCGGGCTGAGGATTAAGTTATCCGGTGAGCCAGCCAATCAGGTAGGATCGGGCGGTGGCGTCGGAAGGGGGTGAGACCAGACGGCACGGCGCGGTCCGGGATCGCTTGGCACTCCAGCCGTGAAGCATTCACGTGCCACTGGCCGCGA